TAAGCGGCTCAGCTGGATATATACGTCGGCTAGCTGGGCGTTGATGCTGTCACGCAGGTGTTCGGGCGTCCCCTTTTTAAAGTCTACCCCAAGCTCGTCCAACGTTTTGCCTTGAACGTATTCTAGGATCATATAGGAGGCGACTCCGTGCGCGCCCGGCTCCCTGGAGGTGCTGTATGCATGGACCTTGGGCACGGGTATCGTAGTGTGGCTTGCAACGAACCTGGCGGTCGAAATCGGTTCGAGTTAGCAAAAGCAAAAGCACAAAAAAATCCGGGAAAAGAGCGCGAGACCGGCACCGACTTCATCGTAGCGACTTCGGTCGCGACCTTCTCCCAAGGTTCAATGGCCAAGCACGGCGCCAGGGGCACGCGCACGACCCAGCGGTCGCCGTTGGGTGCGGCGTCGAGCTCCCGGGCCGGCCGGGGCCGCCGGAAAAAGCGAACGAAGAAGCAGACGTTGTAGCTGCCCCTTTTGAAGTCCTGGAGAAACTCGCAGTCGTCGCCGCCGTGGTGCGCCGAAGCGAGGGAGCAGATCCGGTCCTTAATGGACTCGATGTACTGCTCTCGCTCCTTGCGGATGCCGTCTTCAATGATTTCGTCGTACATGGCCAAACCCTGGCCGCTTCTGCTAGTTGTGGGGGGACCCGAGGTTAGAAGGTGCCGGAGTGAAGGGGTTGGTGGGCGTGTGAGGCACGTAGGCCGCTGGGACATGGGGCGGCCCAGCGGGCTGTCGCTCGGTGGGTCACCGCTCAGGTGAGCACGGACTACTCCGCGCCGGCTGAATTACGCGCGACCTCGGCCTCCGCTCCCCAGTCCTCTTGGTTCCAGCTCTCCATCGGCCGGCCGGCCCGCCGCAATACATCCCGATCAAAGCAGAACCCTCACCGCGATGCGTCGAGAACCACTGCCATTTCTCAACCCTGAGTCCGATCGCAAGGTCGACACCAGCGCCGGCTCTAACAGCGACGCCGAGTCAGAAGCCAATATCGTCAGTCACCAAGTCTTCAAGTGCTGGCACCAAGGCAGCCATTTCGTGTTGACACATTGTGCCGGAGCAGACCTTCTGGCTGGGCACCCGCCGAGTCACGGCGCGTGGGGAGGTGTGCGGTCACCACCCCAACGTGATATTCCCGCGTGTGCTGCCGAGCCTGCCGAGTCTACTTCTCTTCCGCCTGTCCTGCCTCCTCCCCACGGCTTGGAGAGAGCGCCTCGAAGCGCGATGGCCTGAATGGTTTTTGCCTGATGATCTTGTTATGAAGAGAGAGAAGCCCAATTGGCAAGAAGAATTCGATAACGAAGTGGACATATACAAACTTCTAGCCCCGTTGGGTGGCCACGTTGTGCCTAAGCTTTACGGCCAAACCAAGTACCCGGGCACGGACAAAATCAAAAGGCGCGCGCTTATTATGTCGAACATTGGTGGGGTTTGGCTGGGTGAGCCCGAGGTGGGCTCGCTTCCCCTCGATCACGTTGAGGAGATGCTAAATAGCGCATTCCGGTCCATCGCCGACGCCGGGGTCGCACATTGCGATACGAAACTCGACAATATGCACATTGTGGGCGATAAAATCATGATTTTCGACTTTGACACGTCGGAGAAGGCGGAGGACAATGTGAGTCTGGAGCGCGAAGTAGGGTATTCGGTCAGCTGGGTTTTGCGGCAGTATATCAACCGCCACGATCGCTTCCCCAAGGGAATTCCCTGGGGAGTGCTCCCTTGCGACCGGCCATCTTGGCCTAGACCTCCAAAACAAGGTAAGAAAACCACAGGCCGATGCTATATTTGTGAATACAGCATTGGCAGACGGGTTGGCCCAAACTTTGCACGCCACGTTGACACTACTCCTTGACAGAATATCAACGGGGCCCATTTGGTCCCCTCGGATGCTTGGAACCCAGAGACAATGGTGTCCCACAGCCGTAGGCGAATAGGAACAAAGAAGCGAACGTCGGGCATGGGACAGCTTCTCTTGGATGCCTAGACTGCGGAGCACAAGTGTATTGAGCGTCTGACAAAGGATGGTTCCCAGCGAGATTAAGTGGCCTACATTATATTTTAGGGCAGCCGGATACGGCATGAAAGTCGCAGCTAGCGCTGACATCGGATACCATGCCGACGGCATCCGTGCGGTGGATGTTGGCGGACATGTCACCGTAGCCTTGCCACTCCGGCCGAGAAATGATAATAAATTCACGTTTCGATGTACCCGCTAGGCATTTGTCCTGGTCTCTCCGTCCTAGTATTGGCAATTCTAATCCCCGCCCGTCATGCTGACTTGCTGGTGGCAGCATATCTGGATGGTCCAGGAATCTTTGCTCCCCCCGATTTGACTATCTGCTGGACCGACACCCCAGGCGAGCTCATCAGCAACGACTCGGACGATGACTCCGCAGAAGTGATGCGAGGGACGAGTAGGTTTCACTACGGGGTTTGTTTATTCTATGGCGTTGGCGGGGGCGGCAGCTGTGCGCGCTGGTGGTCAACACCCCACCCAAGCTCCCCAAGCTACTACCTAAAGAGATGTGCCCGTCTGGGGTAGGCTAATCTCACCTCCCAGCTGCATCAACTTACTCGACAAACTATCCGGCGCCCAAGCATTTCTCTCAGGGCCGGTACTTTATTTAATACTCATTCATCTTCTTCGCGCTGCTACTCTCTTCATTAACCTTTGTATTTTTCGCGCTATTATGCTGGACAAAATCTTAGCCAAGATCGTGGGGAGGGCGGATGCGGGTCCGACGGAGCGGGACGACGACCCGATCCATCCAGCTGTGGGAACCGCCTCGATTCCGCTCCCATACCTTTACGAGCTCTGCTACCCGCGCTTCTGCGGTACCGTTGGCTTTCCCATGTACTACAACCACGTACTCGACGAAACCTCTTGGTGCCACCCCGTCAAGCTGGCCGAGCTACAAGAGGCCGGCCTCGTGTACTCCGCCCTGTCGACCGCGCCCTTTGTCCCTGACACTTTTTGGGACGAGCCCGTCTCCGCGCCGTGGGTCGTAAAGTACGACCGGAAAGGACAGCCGCGCTACACCAACACCGACACGGACGAGACAGTGGAGCGCCACCCGAAGGCTCTCGAGTTGGGCCGCGCCCGGGGGAGTCGAGAGTCGGAGCGCCGCCCGCTCAGCTGCGGCGGCGGACCCGCGGAGGAGGCCTGGCTCCTGCAGGGCAGGCTGCCGCCCTGGATGGACAAGATTGAGAGTTTCCCCACGGGCTCCAATGCCACGCCCCTGTACATCAACTACCGCGCAGACAGGTGGGAAGCTCACGACCACGTCAAGTTTTTCTTGGAGGAGGGTCGGTACATTTCCGAGGAGCGGGCCCGCGAGATGGAGAAGACGCCCATCGGGCGCCATAAATTGCGGTACTATACGGTTCTGGACGCCGACACCTTGGCCGCGAGGGCGGCTGTGAAACTTGCCAAACAAAAGACCAAGGTCCTCGACCCTTCGCGTGCCGAGATCATGCATTGTCTTGACTAACCTAGGTAGCATCCTGCCCAAATTTCCCTTCTTTACCAACGTTCGTCTCAGCGTGCACTTTTCTGCTTATCAACTGGTCGCACAGCAATCAACCGGATGGTCTCGGCGGGTAGCAGTCTTGCGGCGGTCAAAACGAGCGCCCGCCGCCAGTGAACGTTGCTCTTTTGGTTAAGGGACGGGGAGAATTGCCTTGGCTTCCCGGGCGCCTCCGGCGACGACGTGGCTACTACGGGGAGAATCAAGGTGACTTCGGTTGGTGGAACAGTTCAACCAAGTGGGCGCCTGAAAGCTCCGGCCAAACTGGACGAGGGATCCCAACGAGCTTGTCATGACCAACTTATTCTATACCGATCGTACGGGATACCCGCGGGCAAGATGCTGCGGTGGCTCTGAGGGTGACGTCAACAGCGTCAACAAAGGATCTGTCGGGACAGAAAGAAGGAGAAGGTTGAGAGGGGGGCAAAAGGTGGAGGAGGCTACCTAACTAGATAGCAGCTGAGAAAAGCCAACATGCCGCTCACGCAATTTCCGAGGCTAACTCGCTACCGGCGGCTTCGACACCGCTCCCGGGCCGTGACCGTGGCTAGGGAGTGGGCAGGGCCGGTGTTAGGCGCGGCGACATGCGGGGGCAGGACCCAAGGCAGCTGCGATGGTGCCGAACAGCGCGGCCAGCTGGATGGCGTACTCCGTAAATACAACATGAAGCCATTTTGGCGAGAGGGCCCGACTATGGGCGAGCACGACGAATGTTGCTACTCCGTGGTCTCCAAATGGTACAGGTTCTAGCAATGGCTATTTCTTAGCGGGCAAGCAGAATGACTAGCTTTCGGCCAAAGTGCTTTGTATTATCCGAAGATGGGAGGTGTGCTGCCTCCCCATGTCGCAAGCCGGCGGAGGCGCTCCTCCTGGTGGGGTATAGCACGAGGCCAGGGGCCATAGGATACTTAGAGAAGGTGGTCATTAGGACATGGTTTGCGCCGGGGAGGCCTCAAAGGCCCGGCTGGTTCTTGCCCGTAAGACGGGTTTGGAGGCACGTCAAACCTGGAGCCGGACACACCCGACGCGCACGGATGGGGAGGTTCCTTTGGCCACGCCTTTGACATGAAAAACAGCGGTATCAGCTTGAGGACGACTAGATACCTATAGAAATGGGATATCCATGGTGGCAGGTTGCAGCAAGGCGGTCTACAATCTCAACAATCTCAACCCTTTCCTCCAGCCTGGCATGACTTGCTGGTGCCCTCGTGCCGCGGAAGCCCGTCCCCAAATGCAGGTCCTTCACTCCTTCCAATCCCCGACGCAGGGTACCATTTTCTCGCAAAAGCCTCGGCAAAACGGCCTGAACCACTCAGCCCTATCGTTACAGGATTGGACACACAGTTCCCTCAGGCACCTGCCCCTCCGCTGTATCTGGCTGCCATAGACAGCCGTCTCATAGGTCTCGCGTGCTCCCAGAATGGGATACCTGGAGGGAATCGTAGGGGCGGCGCTGGCCGCGGTGGCGAGCGCCAAGAGAGCGAAGGGAGTCGGGAAGCGCATCTTGGGGATGTTTGTCGTGGGTGTCTGGAGCCAAGTTGCTAGTTTGACCTGGTAGGTTTGAGCTGCTTCACATGTTAGCGACGGGCTCTCTCTGTCAAATCTTCTCGGCGGCGCCCTCATCCAGAGCAAGAACTGACCTGGGGCCTGGCAATTTGTTGTGTCGCCACGGGTGACTGGTGCTTGGAGACTCGCTAATGCAACACGAGCAAAAGACCCGAGGGTGGCTTTATATTAGTGTACACTGGCAATGAGTGAATAGCCGACCCCACCATTGCTTGGTGTCTGTATTCCCCGGCGAAGGCTACACACCACCGAGCTTGAAACAGGGAGGAGGGGCCAGGAGCCAGGGAATGGGCCCGGAAGACATGTAGAATCTGAATAGAAGTTTGCCCAAGAAATCACAAAGTGGGAGCGACAGCTACCAAAAATTCTTTGATTCTCATAAAGTCCGACATAAGGTGGCCCTATCTACGGAACGGGGGGGATGATGTACGCAGCCTAGCAGGCGTGACTAGGATTAGTAGACCCTGAATTTGCCGGGTGTGGTTCCCCGGAGGACAGCGCCTTTGAGAAATCTCCGGTGACTTTTTGTCAGCGAATGTATCGAGGATTAGTTGGGGGAATCGGATGACACATACCCAGAAGCAAGAGTAGAGGCCATAGAGGCAGTCCATCTCCTGGAGCCTATCCCAGACAGAGTCAGGCTAGCTGGCTCATCGGCGTTTACCGACACCATGCTTCGGCTGGTATGCAGTTTGCGAGCCGTAAACGAAACCCTTCAAGACTTTGGCGATACGTCAATTTCTCGTGGCCATTGTCATGCTGTGCTGGGTGCCAGGGCTGCAGGAGGCCGTCATGGGTAGAAGAACCCTCTCCTGGTCAAAGCCCTCGCCGGAAGACCTTCCTCGCCTCTTCATCGCTGGCGAGACAACGAGAAGCACTTGCTGCTCGGCGGTGTAAATCGTCTCCCCATGCTCCAGCTCCATCTCATCCTGCTGAAATTGAAGGAAAGGCTTCACGTCTTGCTTGAATAGCACGACCGGAGATGCTTGCACGCTCATATCCTTGTCGAGTGCAAGGGCCTGGTCAAGTATCTGGTTGAGGTCGTTGACATAGCTGCTGTCGGTGCGGTCTGATTTCCGAAGGAACGGGTCGATCAAGCAGCGCATGTACTCGATGCAGTCCGATTTCCAGGACTCCAGTGCCTCGCTGGGGATAGGCTGTCCATCATTGCCGGTCATCGAAGCAAAGATCAGGTTGATGGTTTCCGCTCGCCACTTGTAGTACTTCTTTATCGAATCCGAAGTTGAGGGGATATCTGGATCTAGATGCATGCTCCCCAGAATAGGGGAATTGTCAGCTGTGTCCTTATTGTTACTGTGTATCCTGGGGGCTTTTTACCAGGTGCCAGGCTGCGCTCGAGAGCCCGGAAAGAGCCTCCCATTTCCCGAGCCCAGATGAAGCGGCCGAACACACAGATCTGAAGCGCGTCCCACAAGAGAGCCTGTGCGATGCTGGGGCACTTCTCATTGGACATGATGTACTTTAGAATCCAGTCAGTGTCGGGGAGGATGGCGGCAATTTCTTCGCGCCACTCAGTCGCCTCGAGTTGATCAGGATCCATGTCGCGCGGCGGGCCTCCAAAGTAGTCGGCAGCAAAGTTGCGAATGGTGGATCTGAGCTTCTGCATCTCGTTGACGAGGTACTCGTCTCTCATCTGGTTGAGGACCGGGGGAGCTGCGGTACTCTTCCTGAGCTCCTGTTCAGCATCCTTCAGGCGCTTCTTCGCCTCCAGCGCCTTCCCACAGGCGTCAAGTTCCCGCACGACCTCATGGTGCGTTTTGGCCCAGATCAAGCCCGGCGGCGCTGCTGCCGGTGGGGACATTGAGAAGGAAGGGCTATCGCCTTGGAGGTTCTGGCTCAGGGAACGCAGATTCTCGCGGTAGTGTTGAAAGCCTTGATCCTGTTGATAAGCATTGCGCGGCTGGAAGCCCTGGGCCTGGTGGCCGTCATTGATCTGCTGGCCAGCCTGAGCCTGCCGATTGCCCGGAATTTGCTGCCCAGCCTGGTTCTGCTGGGCACTCTGAGCCTGGCTCTGCTGGGTACTCTGAGCCTGGCTCTGCTGGGAACGCTGAGCCTGGTGGTGCTCTTGGTGCTGATCCTGGTGGTGGTGGTGTTGATCTTGATGGCCCATGTGGTTCTGTTTCATTTTGTTGCCCTCCGACCGGCCAGGTACGTGGCCCTCGCCAGCCATTGTAGAGTTAGTGGCCTTGCTCTCCTCCGTCAAAGAAGATCTTGGATAGGTGGCTTGGGTAGAGCGTGCTCTACTGTTGAGGTTTGTTGGTTGGTGATATGCTTGCTGGAGGGCGGTGGCTAGAAAGCGTGGTGTCGAGAGTTATCTCGTTACAGGTTGAGCAGAAAGTAGACAGGACCAATTTAGGCAGAAAAATTGGATGGTTTGTTTGTGGGGAGTTGGTGGTGGGGACCGCCTTCCTCCTCGGCTTCGGACGGCTGTTGTTGTGTCTTGCGCGAATCTTTCCCCCCTTTTTTTCTTCTTTTTTTCCCTCCTACCCTTCTTATTTCTCCCAATCTTCTTCTTCCTCTCACCTCGCCCAACCCTGGTCAATACCACTACCTAATCAAACCTCCATTCATGGCCTCCGCGGAGGACGCCTCCTCGGGCGACGATGAGGCCTTCACAGTCCTCAATGATGACGACGGCACCTTAGCCATCGGAATCGATTTTGGAACCACGTAGGTTTCGCGGCACCACACATCTTGGCCCGCGCCCCTCCCGGCCCCTTCTTCCTCCCTGCGTCCTGCTGACGTCCCCTGTGACAGGTTCTCTGGTGTGGCTTGGGCTACCTCGGACGAGTTCGACAGCGACCAGAACAGCGTCAATACCATCACCACCTGGCCCGGAACCGGTCGAGAGGAGGGAAAAGCTCCCACCGAGATCGCCTATGGCGACGGTGACGAGGTCTTTTGGGGCTTCGAGGTTCCTGCGGATGCCGATCCAATCCGCTGGTTCAAGCTTTTGCCTCTGAAGCCCGGAGATTTAACTGAAGAGCTTTTCCACTCCGAGATTCTGACCAAGGGCCGCTTGTTCCTGGCAAAGACCGGCAAGACCGCCGTTGAGGTGATTGCCGACTATTTGCAGCTTCTTTGAAAACATACCCTGGATACAGTCGCCAAAATTTTTGGCGATATCGTTGTCAATTCCATGGTTTTCCGTGTGGTTATTACCGTACCTACCATCTGGAAGCCCTATGCTCGCCAGTCCATGCACGAGGCTGCCCGACTGGCCGGCATCCTAGACGAGCGTTTTGCCGGACTGACCATTATGTACTTCGTCCCCGAGCCCGAAGCTGCGGCCCTGGCTACTCTCATCGAGCCGGGACGTAAGCCCAAGAAGGACAACATCCTTGTCATATGTGATGCAGGAGGTGGCATCGTCGACCTTATCAGCTACAAGATCGATAAGACGGGCCCCGTCGCCATGTCTGAATATGTCGAGGGCACGGGAGACCTTTGTGGCGGCGCTTTTATCGACGCCGCATTCAAGAACATCTGCACGAAGCGCTTCGGGAGCCGCTAGGATGCCCTCAGCAAACGCAGAGTTCGCCAGATTCTTACCAACGAGTGGGAGTATGGCATTAAACCGCAGTTTAAGGCAAGCAACTCCCACAATGAATTTGTCGTCGAAATTCCTGCGGAAGCCTTCGCCGGGTGGCAGCCATTCCTCACGCCCGACCCCTCGAGGCAGCCAAGGATCGTAAATGGTTGCATGCACATTCCTAGCACCATGATCCAGTCAACCTTCAACAAGTCATTCGCCGGCATCGACACGCTGGTAGACGAGCAGATCAGCGCAGCTACCCACAAGGGCAGCCAGGTTACTATAGGTCCAGAATATGCATTTCCCCATTCCTTTTCCTTTTTCCAGATTCCCTTTTCCAGATTCCATTTGCCAGATTCCTTTTCCAGGAACGTAACTAATGCGGTGTGTTATTGAAGGGTGTTATCCTCGTCGGTGGGCTCGGCTCCAGCCCGTATCTATACGAGCACCTCAAGGCTACGCTTTCAACCAGAAAGGTAGCTGTAATGCAGGCCACTGGTATCAAACCGTAAGAAACTGCGTCAAATACCCAACGTGGGAGCTTGAGCTAACGTAATTTGCTACAAACAGCCGGACTGCCATTTGTCGCGGTGCTGTCGTCCGAGGCTTGTTGAAGACAAGTTCCGGCCAATGGGAATGCATCCTGTCCTCGTCACGTCGACAATCTCTCGAGCCAACGTGGGTATTGTGACTAACCAACCATTTGATGCATCGAAACATCTGCCCGCGGACCGGTACTTCGACAAATTAGAGCTCGAGTACAAAGCCGGCAAACAGATGGGCTGGTACCTCAAGAGGGTAAGTCATTTTGCCACACATCTTCTCCTCTTACTCGGCAACATTTCTAACGCTAACTATTGCACATACACAGGGCGAACACGTCTCCGGCAAGGAGCCCGTCCGGCGAAGCAGCTTGTATCGCACATTCTCCAGGCCCGCGGGTATGGAGAATTTGTCCCGTGTCCCTGTACGAGTGCAGTGGCCTGATCGCACCGACTCGCAAGCATTCGACCATGGAGAGGTTGTGTATTCTCGATTACAAGATCGACACCCCGTTTGACCAGCTTCCGGACAGGACCAATACGCGAGGCAAGCGTTTCAAGCGATTCAACCCCGAACTGGAGTTGATCCCCTTTGGATCCTCGGTCGAGCTTTCGCTTTGCTACCAGGGCAAAAAGCAGGGCTCCAAGAGCTTCACCGTTCGCTTCCTCTAAGTTACCATCTATGCCGATGGGGACGGATCATCACGATATTCTTGGACAGCCCGTCATATGCGATCAGGCGGACCAGTCGGTCGACGCAGCGGCGACAGACTCTTCGGGAAGTGGTCAATCATGTCAGAGGACAGACGATGATGAGTGATTCGGACCGACAAGGCGACGGTGGTTGCTATGCCTAGCGTGGCGCTGCCTTGTGGGCTATGCAGCCAAAAAGTTCTGGGGTTGCCCCATGAGGGTGTGCATCTGTGCTGATGTACCATGGGGCGGTCTGTATGCCTGCAACCGTATGCATCGATGAAGGCGAAGGAAGAGAAGCGGTGTGATGTAGCAGTAACTGGTAATGTAGCAATGACTGTGGCATTAATATCTGTGTGGTTCCCCTAATAGTGTTGTGGATTTTGAAGATAAAATATCCGGGCCGTAATGACCAAGTAATGCGATAAAGAGAATAAACAGCCAGAAATAAGCTGTTGGAAATAGAGCATGATTCTGGAAACACGAGGCAGAAGTGGAATAGGGATAATGATCGGCCGCCCCTCCGGATAAGCACATCATGCCGTTAATGCCCGATCAGCAGGGAACAAACGTGTTGCAGACATCCCGGCAGATGAACTTCCAGTAGTCGGCCTTGTCCTCACAGCTGCTGAGGCACGACTCCCGCAGCCATCCGCAATCGCCGTCCCTCGTCTGGGTGCCATTTGCGTGTACGGTTGGGCGGTTGACCTCACGGGGCCCGGCGGCGTAGTGTTCGTGAAACGTAGGCGCGGCCGTGGTCGTGGCGGCGAGTGCCAGGACGGCGAGGGGGGCCGGGGATCGCATATTGCCCGGTGTTGTTTGCGGCTACCGTGAATGAAGTGTGCAGATGTTTCTTTTTTTTTTTTCTATAGGCGAGATGTCTGTCACCACCTTCTTGCGCTGTTTCACTTAGCCCTCTGCTTTCGAGACAGCACGGACATCGGCGACATCCCGGATCAAGGTGACTGACCTGCGCGTGGCGCCTTGTCGGCTCGTGGAGGGAGATGCTAGGCTTTTGTGAGCCTGAGAGACCTCGGAGGCCATCGAGGGGGAAGAATCGGGTTATACGGCGTTTCAAACACAGGTGAATCACTGAAACGATGTCGTTTGTCGTCGCCGGTACAGTCATGCGAACCCAGTGATCGAGGCCGGGATCGTGACGAGGTTCCGCATTGGTGTGTAGAAGAGCGTACATAACAGGGGGTACACGGTCACCTTTCCAAAAGAAATCTTGGGGTGATTGGACGTGGCAGCAGGACTGGCGGAGATGAATCACCAACCATGTCGACTTGGAAGCCTGCAATGTTCATGGGGCGGAAGGCGAAAAACGCGAGAGCAGCGCCGACGAGGGATCACCAAGCAATGGAGATGGAGATGTAAGACCTAGAGGTGGATGAAGTGGAGAGAATTCGAGCAGCAGAAAGCCTGTTCCGAAACGCACGTAGCCGTCTCATCCTTCCCTTAAATGATGGGTATATACACAGAAAGAGTATGAAGCAAGACAACAATCGTAAGGTGTCCACTGGACCTCAGACGTGCGACGAAGGGACCCAAGATCGAAATTCCCTACCTCAGGATGCCCTCATCGAGACACAGGAGTGAGGTACACGTTGAGGGCAGGCTTGTCTCTCAGGACGAAGGTCTTTTGGTCAAACCAGTCCTTGTCCTTGTCGACGAGCTCGAGGTCGAAGCTGTACAGCAGGCGCGCGAGGATGAGGCGCATCTCGGAGTACGCCAAGCTGCGGGGAGCACGGAAGATATGCAGTCAGCATTCGCAAGGCCACATACATGCATCTGTGGGACAGGTGTCGTCCAATGAGGAAGCGGGTGTGCCGGGGAATGGGCAGGGCCGGCTTACTTTTTCCCGATGCAGTTTCGGGGTCCTGTAAGACTATACGTCAGCTTAAATTCTATGATCTGAATGGTGCCAGGTAGGCTTGGTTTGCATTCTGCAAGCCTTGACGTACCAACGTGGAACGGCTGGACGGCGTCGAGCCGGTCTCGGGACTTCTCGTCATGGTTGATCCACCGCTCCGGCTTGTAGGCGAGGGGGTCCTCGAAGTTGCGGGAGCTCTGGTAGCAGGCCTGCTGCCAGACGGCGACGGTGGACTTTTCGTTTTTGCCACACCGGACGTTAGTATGGACACGAAAGACACACACAGGTGGGGCAAGCCCGCTTACGTTCTCGGGGACGTGGACGCCGGCGACGGTCGCCCCGCCGGCGGGCACGGTCCGGGGCATGCCGACGGCCACGGGCGGGTAGCGGCGGAGGGCTTCGTCGAGGCAGGCGAGCATGTAGTTCAGCGACGAGACGGACGTGAGGGTGATCTCGGACTCGGCCTGGAAGCTGCCGCGGACCTCCTCCACCAGCTTGGCCATCTTGTCGGGGTTTGTCAGGAGCAGATAGACGACGCCCGACAGGAGCGTGGCCGTTGTCTCGGAGCCGGCGACCATCAGGGTGCCGGCGTTGAGGCGGATGCGCTCAAAGTCCAGGTTCTGGCGTGTTTGACTTGGCGGTTAGGCCTCTCCGTATGCTGTGCCAGTGTTACTATGCGAGGGGCGGCTTACCTTGACGCGCAGCAGGCCTTCAATGAGATCCGGGCGTTCCATGCTCAGCTTCATGCGGCGTTGCAGCTTCGCCTTGGTCGCGTTCATGTGCGCCTGGCGAGAGCGCAACAGGCCCAACTTCAAGATGGCCGCCACCACCCACTCGAAGCCGAGATGCTTGAGAGCCTGGATGGGGCCAAACACTCGGACCATAGCCTGTTGCTCCTCCTGTTAGTTGCGCGCGCATTTCCAAGTGCTCCGGGGTCTCAACTCTCGGCAGGTCAACGTACGTTCATCGAAATGATCCAGGGGTCGTCCTCAAAGTTCTCCAGGCAGCCGAGGGGCTCGCCGAAAGCTAGGTCGGAGATGACGTCGAAGGTGGTGTAGTTGAAGATGCGCGAGAGATCCAGCACCTTGTGCGTCTTCGTCTTGTCGTCGCTGTATTCGTAGCAGTGTTCGTGCAGGCGCCGGATCATCAGATCGACGTAGCTGCCGATAATGGGCTCCTGTAGACGCATTGCTGAGAAGTGCAGAGCAGGTTAGAAAGGTGCAGCGCGGGTACAACGGGGCGCATGGCAGGTTGGCGAACTGACAGCGGTCACTGAAACCGTGGGCGAGCTGGCGCCTGAGGACCGTGTGGTTGTCTCGGGACTCGTTGATGATGGACGGGGGGATTCCGCGCGTGTCATAGAATATGGACGCCTTGGCCATCTCCTCCTGGCCCTGCAGGTTCCCGGTGCGGTGGCCGTAGATGTCCCTCCAGGCCTCGGCGTCGATGAAGGACAGGAAGTTGGGGCTGATGCGCACGACGGGGCCGTACTTTTCGTGCATGGCGGCCACATCGTAGGGGAGCGTGCCGCGGTTTAATTTCACGCAGTACGGGACGACGGTCGCGCCGTGCAGGAGGGGGCCTGGGAACTTCCGCAGTGGGTGGAGGAAGAGGTTGTAGACGATGCTTCCCACCACGTAGAGCGGGAACTTTTGCGTCGCGCTGTGTTAGTGCGAAGACTCCTATTGGACGAGCATTCCGACGGTGGCCATGGCGTTGCGGCGCATGCGCACCGACGCGCATCGCACTCACCAGAGCGGCGGCCAGCACGATGATGCTACCAGCATGCAAGCCCTCGAAGTATATGGGCGCCATTTTGCCGGTATCTGTCGTTGCGTTTGCCAGGAGCGAAGGCCGGCGGAGGAAATAGGGGAACAGATCAAGAGCAGAGAAAAAAAAACACCAGACGGAGCGGTCTGATCAAATGGGTCTCCTGACGGCTCCCTTAGTTTGTTCAGCAAGCACAAGGGTCTCCCCGGCTTTTTGTCTGTGTGATGGAACCCGAAACGACTCGACCTGGGGCCGCCACAGAAGTCGAGACGAAAAGCAGGGAGTCGGGGTAGGTTCTTTATATGCAATTAACTACCTCTTTGGCAGCTAATAACGCGTTTGGCTTCCAGCATCCTGGCTCCGGGGTTCGAATGACCCGTCTCCCCGCAGCTGCGACGTCACCAATCTCCTCCTGCTTCTCCAGCGCCCAGTTGTCTTCACAGTCAAGGGTCACTAGAGCGGATTTGGTTGGCGGTCACGGCAGACTAGGTGGCATTGGCACTGGCGCCAGCGGGGTCAGCCGGGAACAGTGCCAAATCGAGATGCTCATCTGTGCCATGCAGAGAGGGTCAACACTGTGTTTTATCCTGGGGGTTTTTTTTCTGTCCGTATGCAGCCGAACCTCGATATCCATTCCTACCAAGAGGTATTTTTACAAGGTATCTACCTGTTTGATATATCAGCGTTGGTGCTGATAATAGAACGAACCTTGTATCTTCAGCTGTCGTGACACGCCCCCACATGTGGCGCCCAGGACGCTCTGTTTGCCACCAGAGTCCGCCGGCACAGCAGGGACAAATCAACGACACGGGCTGCCTTTTCGAGCTCCATCGATCGATAAAATTCACCGAATCAAGTCGCGCTCGCGAATCCGGACATGCCGCTGTGCCGGGTGCCGGCGGCCGGATTGGCCCGAAAGACCGGGCTTACTTGCGTCGTGAGTACGGCACACAGTACATCGACTAACGCGATCTAGAATGTGTGCGGGCCAAGCCGGCTTGCGAGAAGAGACGGAGGGGTCTAGAAGGCGAGGGGCAGTGGAGAAACATGAGCAAAAGAACCCCCAAGCCAGGGTGCTAGGTAGCTGCCCGGGTAAGCGGGTCAACAAGACCCAGGAGTTGCTGCGCCTCGGGTTCGTTAACCGTCCGTGCTACCTACGAGCCAAATGAGCGCTGGAACCTCGCGGACTGCTCCAAAGCCCGAACCCCGCCGTCGCAGCACCGGGCGACTACGATGGCGCACATTGTGGCCAGGCCTCGCGTCCGATACATGGCTGTTAAATGTCATATCGATCCCGCGTACGCAAGAGTCCAAAGGAGGAAGGACGAAGCTTCGGACAAATGCGGGCGAAGGAAAAGAACTACAGGGCTCGGCCTTTCATGACCCAATCTGATGGCACCAATCTCAAACCCACTGGATTGCAAGGCGGTCCTGCCACTCGCCCTCTCGTATTCGGCTCGAGATAGCACCCAAATCGCAATACTGGCGCGTTGGTGCTCCCACATTGTGACGCCTGAAAGTGGCCGGTGTACACGCTGTTGTGCCGGTTATTGGCATCGAATTCGCGTGCAGCGGTGGTCTTGTTTCGCTTTCGTCAAATCCAGGGTACTTTTGACCGCGTTCCTAATGATAAACCAACGTGATTAGGGTAGGCTTCTGGGTGCACTGCTGGCTAACGGAAAGGCCTGCACGCTGCCTACAACTCGCCAAGGGCGACTCAAGTACTATTTTATCGCCACGCTCGCGGTTCCTTTAATAAGTCGCATTTCGATAATAATAATAATAATAATAATAATAATAATAATAATAATAATAATAATAATAATAATAATAATAATAATAATAATAATAATAATAATAATAATAATAATAATAATAATAATAATAATAAATATTTATATAATTTAATTTTAATTTTAATTTTAATTTTTACAAAATTTAATATTCTATTCAAAAATGCGTATGCGTTGCATATGCAATGCATTCGCATCCTTACCCCCCTGCTACCTTGCTTGAGGTTTTGGGGTCCACTTTTTCCCGCGGTGTTCGCCCACCTTGGCTGAGCTGACTCCTCAAATAGAGCCCCTCGATGTGGGCACGTGCCGCCACAGCTGACCCACAGCCCCTTACCTGCCTCCCACTGCCTCAATCCGTTTGCTGTTATAAAATCAATCCCCCCCCCTCCCCTCCGCCAATCCACGAGATGACCACGCTGGACGCCGGATCCATGTCGGTTGCGAGGCAGGTGGCCTGGAACATCAAGTTCCTTGACCGCCCCAGCCACGTCTTCGCTGGCGTTTACAGTCGAGATCTTCGCGTGCGAGAGATATTTGCGGAGCTCCACCTAGTCTTCGACTTCTCGTCGTCCACCCAAGATTTATCCCTCTGGCCCGAGGAGCAGGGCTCTGCCGTCCTTTCCGAGGCATCCCCTGACGTTCTTGATCGTATCATTGACGGTCCGGAGCCCGACGCCAAGCCGGCGTTCTTCGTCGTCGCGCACCACGACTCCGACGCCTGCGGCCTGCCCGGCGAAACGGACCTAGCCCTTCACCGACAAGGTAATTGATACCTATTACCTAGTAATTTACCTCTATCATCTCCCGCTCTCCTACTGTAATATACGTAACCTCTATCGCTAACTCGCATACGTAGAGGGATGTGCAAAACTTGTCCACCCCAAACGTCAGCAGCACTCTTTCTACCTTCCTATCAACCAAAAGTCGAATGATCCTGCTGTGACCGCTTTCCCTTTTCGGCGTCGCGGTAGCGTCTCTCCCAGTAAACGATCGCGAACCGGATCAGGCTCGACATCCCAGAGAAGCCAGTCGGAGGCCACCGAAACCGCCCAGCATAGCGATGTTGTTGGGCCTGATTTCCTGATAGGCGCGGCTTCATACAAGGAAGCCCGCAAGAAGCAACATGGCTTCCGCAGCGTGGCCTTGGACTTGTCGGCCTGCTGCGCCGTAACCAAGCTCGGCAAGTCATGGTGCCGCAAGTCAGTTGTCGGACCAGGCATACATGCGGCGCACATCGTTCCCCAGCTCCAGTATCAGTTGTTCCCTCTGGGGGACGACGATGCGGCCGACATTCACTACCACCAACAACAATCAGCTTCTGTACCCGCTGAACTTTTGGTGGCCTGGGACAGAACGTGGTCCGTCGGAAACAGCATCATTCTCTCAGCATCAATCCACGAAGCTTTCGACCAGCGCCTGCTTGCCATCCACCCGGACTCGCACAAAATCCGCGTTTTCGCTCCCTATGATCTCATCATACCGTACCACGGCCAGATAGCCGACTTTGGACAGAACTACCCCGACCGCGAAGCACTGCGCTGGCATTGGAATGTGTGTGCTATCGAAAATATGAGAGCGATAACAGAGCTGCTGCGGCCAGGCTTGGTCCTCCTTCCTTCTGGCACTGAAATGCCGCCCTCTCGGCCCCGTCAAGCGGAAGATGACGACGACGAGGGTAGCGACGATAGCGATGGCGATGGCATGGGCCCCCCCTCAGCTCCAGGACCCGCCAACCATGGCGCTGTTGGTGGGCGGAAAAGATCCAGACTTTCCGAGCTGCAAGGTGAAGGCAAAGAGGATGACATGCCGGAGCTGTCGCATGGCGAGGGGCCATCTACTCCTAGCTTTGCCGAGAGTGGGCATGGCTGTAGCAGCACTACAAAAAGGCAGCGGACCGCGGCTTGGCTGGATAGCCTTCCCCTGGATTCGAAGGGTTACTAATACTAACGGTAACGGTGGTGTGGGAGGTGGAAAGTGTAATAGATCGGTGCGTGGCCTTTGGCCTGTACCGCCTTGGTGGCTTGTGTGGCTGTGGCTACACGATATATAGTGCCCTCGGCGACCACGAAAAGGGGTCCCATTTGGATCCTTCCTGCACCTTTGTTAATAACCTCGTTCTCCCACAACGGAGTCCTTTGCCTTTAGGATTAAACCGTAACAAAAAGCTTTATTGTTGGTAGGAGTCTGGTACTCCTGTTGAACGGCTCGGAGATCTCCAAAGGTGATGAACAAAGATCTCTGTGATCTGGGGAAAGGTCCTATTATTGTGCATAATTGTGTTGAGCATAAGGAGGAAGAACCTCTGGCCCCGAGGAGGCGCCAAAGGTAGGGTTTATATACAGGGGTTAAGGGGCCGTGCCCCCTGGGCTTGGCCCTGGGGCCAAGCCACGGGCACAAGCCACGGGCACAAGCCACGGGGCTTACAAAGGCCCAAGCCCTATAATCATATCCTCCTTTGGCCCAAAACAAGTGAATCTTTTCCTTTATTGCATGCGCCGGAATATGATCCGACA